GCCTTTCTTTCAGTGCCTTTGGTGCAAAGCTGTCTATTCTCAGACACTCATTTGGCATTTTAATCAGAACAGTGACCACTACAATTCACTTTAATCCCCCCGTTTTACTTATCACCTCAGAAAGTTACTTTACCAAATTTGCTCAATTCTGTGTCTTTTATTTCACAACTAAGCCCTTCCCCCCCCCCCCTAGTACTCTGAGTGCTAGAGAATCACCATAATGCATTTATTCTCTCAGTCAGGAAGAAAAGCATCATCATTTTTCCCATTACTTCAAATTGGAAACTCTGCCCAACATCAAAACTGCCAGAGAAGTGAGATGAAGGTTAAACTAAAACTCATCTATTTGACACTAATATCTGACATCCACAATGGTCTGGTTGCAGGCCAGGACAAGAAGCTGAAATTACAACAGCGACTACAGCAATAAGCCCTGCAGCTAGTGGAGAGATGGTAGATAACCACCTTCATTCTTGATCCCTCTGCTAGGACTTAACCAGTTCCTGAGAGCAGAAAAGAAGACAGGACTAAAGTCCAACACAGCAAAGGTGTGGTAGCCGTGTTAGGTATTTCCTCCTGCCTTTAAAAGTGGCTCTAGCTAGAGTAGCTGACTGAAGGGAAACTTCTGGCCTAGTCTCTCTACTCAGAGTGTTAAAGTTCTCCCTAACTCCCCTTTGTTTCCCCCTAGCCCACCCAGAGGCCACTAACTCCACTCCTCTCTAGCATTCTCTCACATTCATTTCAGACCCTCTATTCCATTCCTCTCAGGTCCACCCATTGCCCTGGTTCTTCTCACCAGAATACCCACTTGAGTTACCCACCCAACCCACAGGAGAAGCACTATGATCCTCCCACTTGAAAGCCTCCAAATCAGCTGCAGGGCTTCTAAGGCAGCAGCACTCCCCAACCTCTGTAACTGGCATGGAGTAAAAAGACTGTATACAGATTGCACTCACTGAAAACTGATCAGGACGAGATTGTGGAGGAGAGAAATATAAAAAATGGAATGCATACATGTTCTGTGAGCTTGGAATTCCTCCAGAGGGAATGATTCCAGGAAATGATGGGAGGGGAATTCTAGCTTCAAATCTAGCTTCAAAATAGTGTTCTTACCTGCAGATTTTCCCCAAGAATCAACATGCTCAAGTAGTTTTCTCAATGCTAACATGAAGCTTTTAGGAAACTTAGTTTGACAGCAATGACTAAATTAGATGGCATCAAGTTTACTTGTCCTCTGCCACACACACCTACATGTCAACAAAGTTAAGGTGGCCCAGTGCTGTGGAAATGAACTCAAGCAAGACTATACTATTAGTACTAAAGACAGTTATACAAGAGTATAATATACCATACTCCATGAGAGGCTTATCAGCTTTACTCTAATGCATTGTAGAATTCTGGTCATTGGTGCAGTCTAAATTTCTTCAGGGGTAATATCCACTGAAATCTCTCAGAACCAGGAGATCTCAGCATTTTAAACTCCATCCAGTAGTGAGGATAAAAACAAACATAGCAATGTGTATAACTGATACAGATTAGAAAAAGTAGAAAATCAGTCTACCTATTTCCACTCTGAAGAGGGCTTAAAGCATTGCTGGACTTTTTTCCCTTTCAACAGAGACTGTAATACTGAGGTACCTCAGATTACACAGAACTGACACACAGACTTTATTTTACTATCATCTAGGATCAGGAGCCTAATTACAACTGATTTCTTAATAAGCTTTTGAAAGTATTAACCACATTCATGAGAACACAGGAGAAATACGACAAAACCCAAGTAATTTCCAAAATGCTCTTCTTTTTATGCTGTCAGTGCCCTTCCCCTATTTTAGAATAAAGGCCTAAGTCAACCTATATTAAGCAAGCACTATCACAAAGGAGTGTCTAGATACTGATACATAAACACACTTTTTTTTGTGTGTAGAACACGCTTCTTTTACATGTTATCTAAATAACATTCACGCGATATTTAAATTTTTCCTACAAAAAACCACATTAAACTCTACATACTGAAAATCAGCAGAAGAGCACAAGTTGGTACCAACCATCTGGAAGGCTCCAGATCATACTCTACCCTACTTGCTTAATTCCCACAGCTCTTTGCCTTTGGCACTTAAAAGAAGCCCAGCATTAAGAATTCAATAAATTTCAAATTTTATCATAAGACAGGCTGTTTAGCAACTGCTCATATATTTACTATACACATATAAGATCTGCCCTTCTAGGTCACATGAAAACTCCATCATCTCAGTGGCAGATGCACAGCGAAAAAGAAACAAGATAAATATACAGCAATATTTACAACTTCCCAAGCCATGAGTCACATCTGGAGAATCATATTTAATAGCCACTGATGACCAAACACTTCACTTTTTTGAATCCACTTAAAACTTTTACTCAGAACTTACACATTAACTGCAAGACAGGGAAAACACACAAAAAGACAAAAGCAAAATGGTGTGCATCTTTAGTAGTCACGTGATACAATCAACCCTCATGATATCGTATGCTTCACCAAGTTCAATCACTAAAAGCAGAGGAAAAACATTCCGCAAATGAAAGGTCTCATCCTGTCTCTGACCTAAAAATTCAATGCAACTCTGTACGACTACTATGTGTGTGGATGTGCAAGCACAAATACACATTATACATAAATAGAGTTCTACACATGCTTTTTCACTTAAGACTAGATAAATGTCACAGACTAACTTTCTCCTATTATTATTAGGATTTGCAAGCAAAAGCCCACTAACGTTAAGAAGTTTCACTAAAAAAATATTTTGGTTTCTGTTAAACATGTGACAGAACAATGGACCATTACTCAGTTTTCCCCTCAAAGGAATACAAATCCTATAAATATATGCAAAACGGATACAGACATTTGTCCTACATAATTCCCGGGATTTCTTAATTGCATTTGTCTGGCTTAAGCAGTGAGAGCTGCTGGCCCATAAAAGGAATTAGGAGCACACTCTTTTGTGCTTTTGAATTGCAAGAAGGTCCTTCTCGAGTGTTCATTTATGTTATCCTATTACCACCATTCTTCTGGAAAGGTTACATCTCTTGTCCACATATCTCTGCTGCCTATGAAGAGTAAATACCCTTATTTGCATGTGCCTTATAATGCAGAGAAAATACATGCTGTAACTTAAAATGTTTAATTTACTTACCCTCCCCCCCCCGCCCAAATCCTTTAATATTAATTTCAGCAAGCAAAAAGCATCAGGCCACCTTTAAAGGTATACCAGCAGCTTTGGCCATGCACTAAAAATTATTTGCTTTGTCCTTCTACTGATAGACCACTTAAGAGTATTATTCTTATGTGAATTTCCCTTTCTCTTCATTAATTCAAATTCTGTTTTGTTCCTCCAGACTAACTTTACCTTCCTACTTAAAACGCCCCCTCTCTTTGTATTTAAAGGCTTCCTTTGTTTGAAAGGTTACTGGTTTTGCTATCGTACAATGATTTCTTCTACTGTACAAGGCTTCCTACTATCCAGTCACTACTAGCTACAAATCTAAACCACATAGTTGCTGCAGATCATTTTCTAATGGTCTTCTGCAACCTGCTGGATGTGAAAATGTACACTGAACCTATAAAATGCTCCTGTAAAAACATGAAGTGTCCAGTCCTGTTGATCTGAACAAGACTAAGTGAAACAAAGGAGGTTCCAAATGAACATCAGGAAACACTTTTTTACTATGAGAGTGACTGAGCACTGGGACAGTTTGCCCAGAAAGGATGTGGAGTCTCCATCCTTGGAGATATTCAAAAGCAGTGTGGACATGGTCCTGGGCAACTGGCTCTACATTGCCCTGCTTGAGCAGAGGGGTTGGACCAGATGACCTCCAGAGGTCCCTTCCAACCTCAACCATTCTGTGATCATTCAGCTGTCAAGACACCTGAGAGATTGTATCTTAAGCAGACTCATGAGAAATAAGCTGCTATTACCATTTCAACAGCTGACCTCTGTCCACACGCAGCTAACATCTGGTTCAGTGGAACTACTCAACAGGATGACACACAATTGGAGACTTCTATCAGGTCTATTTTCGAGGATTAGTGTATAAGTACACAGGAACACTTTTTTACATGACAAATTGAAGCATAACATTTCAAACACTACAATCAAAATAGAAATACCAGTAATCTAACTGGAGATAGACCACCAAGTTGGTCCTGGTGCTAGTTTATTTACACCTTTCCCCACCTCCCTACGTGTTACATTTTTTCTTGAATTTCATTAGAATACTCAGGAAAGGGGCCATCTTTCAAAATAAATTTCTCTGTTGACTACTGTAATGGGATCCTAAGCATGAACAGGACTTTCAAAATAAACACAGGAAAAATCATACTGGTACTAATCAGAAAATGTCCCGAACGTAACACATTATTTTCACAAGCAGGTTGACTCAATGCTGCATGTGGTGGTGTAAAGCAAACCACAAATACTCACTCATATGCCACACAACTACTGTGGAAATGATTTTGCACAAGGAAAAGAAACTATTTATCAAAATAAACACGTGGTATGTTCCATGCCAAAGATCTACTCTCCAAGGGCTAATTTAGCAGAATTCTTTCCCTTCCTCTGGAGAAAATCTGAAGCATTCCCCCCCTTACAATAAATCGTTCCCTCACAGAGCCACATGGTGTTTCCTTTGGCTATGGCTAACAGTTACGTATTATAGAGTACATACAACTCAAAGAGGTTAATGAAGTTTTTTACTCAAGTTTTACTCAACTCATTTTGATGAAGGAAAGAGTTGAAAATATTTTAAGTAAAGCTTTTCTCATTAAAAGAAAGGTCAGAAATACAAAAAACTTAGCAACCACTCCCTTCTAATATGACCATTCTTTGGTTTAGTAACCTCTTCTCCCTCCCCAAAAGATGACATGAAGAGAAAAATAATTCCTTTTTCTTACTGATAATGTGAAAGTCTATATAGCACATATTCAGTCAAAGTACCCTTTTAAAAAAATCTAAGATACTTACGGAGTCCAAACCTTCGGAAAGGCAGCAATTTCTTCTGGTGTATATTCATCTAACCTCTTGGGGACTGCACGTGGCTGAGGAATCTCTTGTAGAAGATTCTTCTGTATATCTTCTGGAATAACCTGAGGCAGGTGGAAACAGTCTTAGCTATCTGATTGTTTAAAAAACACCACCACTCCCCCCCTAATCCAGACCAAAATTTGTCAACAATACTGCATTCTTCGTGCTAAGTGTTTGTTCGAAATACAGAAGACAATCTCACACATATCTTAGACAATCACGCGATATCATGAGGGTTGATTGTATCACATGACTACTAAAGATGCATACCATTTTGCTTTTGTCTTTTCCCTGTCTTGCAGTTAACGTGTAGGTTCTGAGTAAAGTTTTAAGTGGATTCAAAAAAGTGAAGTGTTTGGTCATCAGTGGCTATTAAATACGATTCTCCATATATAAATAAAAAGCAGCTTGATTTGTCTTAATTTATCTTCTTACAACAAGAATTTTGCTATTGCTAACACTCCTTCTTCACTCCAAATCGCACAGGAATGAAAATGGAACTGCATGACAACTCACATCTTCTGGGAACAGATGCAGCCTCTGCATCATAGTTCTTCTCTGAAGGTTTTTTGGAAGCATTCTGTAAACAGTCAGTTTAACAATCTGAGGAAAGATAACATGGCAACAAATAATCAGACAGGCTATAAATAAAATGAAAAAGGTAAGCTGGGTTTCCCTCTGTCCATTCCACTAGTCATTGAACCTCTTTTCAGTCAACTTCTTCCAGGCTGAACAACTCTGGCACCACATTTAGAAGGTGCTCTAGACTTACTGTTTTGGAAGAAGCAATACTTACTATAACAGCCGCATAGATAATTTCAGCTTAGAAAGTTAAGAGCTATGTTTAGCATTGTGGATAATTGCACGTGATCATTCAGCTTTGAAAAGAATTGAGAAGCTTATGTTAACTCCATATTGTATTGCACGCTTATATACACCCGTTATTGAGGAAAAAAATTAGGCTCTAACAAATTTACCAAGTGTTCTCAGCATCTAGTTTAACACTGTAATTTGCTGTGTTTGAAACTTCTATATAATTAATGCATCTTAAGCAAAGCTGACATACCAAGACACTGCATCACGAACATACTATACACATGCATAATTTATTCCCTTGGTATTAGTTCCAGATGAACGATCTCACTTCTGAGCATCAGGAACGAATAGAATTTGTACATCTACACTAGATGATGCTTACTGAAAAGTAACAATATTCAACAGGATTTCTCTTGAACTCTAGTATAGATGCCTGTCATTTAAATACAAAACACATTGTTATGAACTTCACCCAGAAAGGGAACATTTGTAAATGTAAAACAAGGCATGCAACTGTAGGAGACAAAAAGGGTTTTATAAAGGACATCAAAGCATTTGGGATAGACGTATGTGCAGTTTTGGCTCCAAGCCACCCAGACATAAACAAGCTCCAAATCAGAAACTAGCCAGGCATGCTTAGCGCAATGTTAAACTGAAGTCAATAAGCCACGCTGAAATGCAGTGCATTAAGCACAAACAAATCTCCCAGGCATCCAGATATTTTGAAAAGCGTACTGAGCAAAGTTGCTTCTTTTTATAAAATTAAAGGAATTCAATCAAAATTTTAGAGACAATCACTAATACTGAGTTCCCAGACGGAACCACATAGTTAAGACAGAATGGTTAATTGTTACAAGTGAAATTAATGAGAAGTGCTAGTTTTTAAACTTGCAGGCATTTCTACTCAGATACTGAAGTTGAACACTCAAGATAGTTTGGCCCCAGTATTATTTTCATTTTGCCACATAACAGACAGTAACATTGTCTTAGGATCCTCATAAACATATACTATATGCCTTGAGAAACTCTGAAAGCATTTAGAGAAGCATCAACATCATTAAGGTTTTCAGATGTTATGCAGCCAGTACCATAGATCTGTGGACAAACCTAATAAACCAAGATGATAGAAGAAATACATCAGGTTGGGCAGAGTAATCTGTAGCATTGATACCTTCTCTAATAAAAATTATTAAGCAACTATTAAAAAACAAAGATGAAAGCTAATGCTTTTAGGGATAAGAACTATTCATGCTTGTACAGCATACTACAGTTTATTTAGGTCACTATATCATGTACTTAGACAAAGGCAAGAGGAAGACAGAAAACAAACCTTCACTAGTTTACTGAATATTGAAAGTCAAGTGAGACACCATAACAATGTAAGAAAACACATGGATATTAACAGCAGCTCATGTGAACAGCCCTTTTACCATCAACAATTTTAATTCTGTACCCAATTTTTTTCCTTATAGCCAATAAAAGATCAAAATATATCAGACCTAAAGCAACAGATCCAGAGACATCACAACATACTGCCTAACTGTGGGGATTTTTTTCTTTATTTAAAAATGACTTTTAACTTCAGGTTGTGAGGGAAGCAGTGTTAATTCCTTCGATTAATAAATTGTACATACATGTGGTCCAACATATGACCTCTGACCTACAGATACACAGAGCTAGTTATTTAATGATTTCACTCCAATTAAAAGAGATACTTTAAAATACTTTAATGAACATTGTTAAATATTTTACTTCTTCAAACAGCCGATGTTTGTGCCCAATTTTTCATCTTCCTCTGCAGCATGTGACACAGACATCTGTTGAAACAAATCAGTGAGCTAAACAAACAGCTGGTCTTTTCTAGTTGTAGATACTTCTGCCTGCTGAATCTGATTTGATTTTTTTAGCCACATTACAAAGAGAACAGTTCAGTTGTAAAAATGTGCTTATTAAAAAGTCACACTGGAAAAGAATGATTTATATGCTCAAGTTAAACAGCGAAGAAATACTTTCAATGTTGCATACAGTCGCTGCACAACTGACAACCTCTGGGGACGACAGACTAACATGAAAGCAGGACTTGGAGAATGGTAATGGGTGATGAATGATCATGGATAATTATATATTCAATAATAGTTTCTCTAGATAAGTATGCTCAGTGCAATAAGCATAATCCAAGGTATGCTTTGGTACTTCTGCCAATCTCCACACTGTTCGGTAACTTGTCTGGCTTTCCGTGCCCTCTCACACATGGAAGAAGTGCATTACTGCAAGATCTGCAATAGAAAAATCACCCTCATATGAAGCACAAACCATTTTTTCATTGCCAGGCAGATCACAGAATCATAGACTGGTTTGGGTTGGGAGGGACCTTCAAAGATCATCTAGTCCAACCACCCTGCCATGGGCAGGGACATCTTCAACTAGATCAAGTTGCTCAAAGCCCTGTCCAACCTGGCCTTGAACACTTCCAGGGATGGGACATCCACAACTTCTCTGGGCAACTCATTCTAGTGTCTCACCACCCTCACTGTAAAAAAATTTCTTCCTCGTGTCCAATCTAAACCTACCTCCTTTCAGTTTAAAACTGTTGTCCCTCGTCCTGTCACTATAGGCCTTGATAAAAAGTCATTCTCCATCTTTCTTATAAGCCCCCTTTATATACTGAAAGGTCACAATAAGGCCTCCCTGGAGTTTTCTCTTCTTTAGGCTGAACAATGCCAACTCTCTCAGCCTTTCCTTATCGGAAAGGTGCTCCAGTCCTCTGACCATCTTTGTGGCCCTCCTCTGGACCTGCTCCAACAGGTCCACGTCCTTCTTATGTTGGGGGCCCCAGAGCTGGATGCAGTACTCCAGGTGGGGTCTCACCAGAGCAGAGTAGAGGGGCAGAATCACCTCCCTCGACCTGCCGGCCACAATTCTTTTGATGCAGTCCAGGATATGGTTGGCTTTCTGGGCTGCAATCACACATTGCTGGCTCATGTCCAATTTTTCATTCCCCAGTAACCCCAAGTCCTTCTTCACAGGGCTACTCTCAATCCCTTCATCCCCCAGCCTGTATTGACACTGGGGATTGTCCCAACCCAGGTGCAGAACCTTGCACTCAGCCTTGCTGAACTTCATGAGGTTTGCATGGGCCTGCTCCTGAAGTCTGTCCAGGTCCCTGTGGATGGCATCCCTTCCCTCTAGTCAATCAACTGCACCACTCGGCTTGGTGTCATCTGCAAACTTGCTGAGGGTGCACTCAATCCTACTGTCTATGCCACTGATGATATTAAATCCCTGCCTGATCCAGAGCAGAAAATTGGACTTCATCGTTAGTCTCTCCCATTCTGGAGTTTCAATGAAACTGAATTAACTCACCAAGTAGACATTTCAAACAGCTCATTTTTTAATTGCATGTTTTTGTGGTCATCATAGAGCCTTTAATGTCTGAGTCCCTTGAAAACATTATACCCATGCGGAGAACAAGAGAGAGGAAGAACAACCTTGAGTTTGAGCACGCATAATCCCTGCCCCAGCAACTCACTGTAGGGGCAAAGAGGGAACAAACCCTTGGCTTCTGCAGCAGATCATAACTTCCTTGCTGGAATAGATCAAAGGCAGATTTATAACATCCACCCCACCCCTGAACCTCATTCACTTTGGTCAAGAAGGGAGAAAAAAAAAAAAAAAAGGAAAAAAAAACCCAAAAAAGGGTATTACTAAGCAAAGCCCTGTACTGTACTTTTATTATTAACTTCAAGGTAGTTAGTCCAACTGTAGAACAGAAGACCATACAGGGAGCTAAGACAGAGAAGGTAGAGCTGGAAAACCTCTAGCTTCCTTCATTGTAACTTCTGCCTCAAAGATTTTTCTACAAGCCAAAGCAAATCCAAATCCAGCTCCTGGAAAGACTAAGTTTACATCCAGCTCCTTGCCCAAAATTCTTCCTACAGCCAGAACCTCACTCTGCTTGGTGTGATGACAAGTCAATAATTTAGTGAAGTACAGGCTTAACTGAAGCTGTACAGACTGCTTTTGCAACTTTAGTAAGGTTGTGTAACAGAGAAGGCAGATTCAACCAGCAATATTTACAGGGTGTTATGTAAGGGCTCTCCTGTTACCTGAACATGCTCAAGTTTTACTAAAAATACACCAACCCTAAATAATAAGCTATGGAATTGCAAGAAAAAAGTCTTTTGCTGAGCTTATCCAAAACCCCAAACGCAGATTCAATGCTCCCTGAAAACACACAATAGAACATGCTGTTTCTTTAAGGAATAAAAATAGAAACCCTTCTATCTGTTTGTAATACATTTCTAATAAAAGACAATTCTTTCTTATGTTTTCTATGCGATTATTTTTATTTTGAACTATTAAAATAACAAGAGCTTAATTTTACATGAGAGGTAGATTTCAGTTGGATTTCAAATTGGCAAAGTCGTCTACCTACCCACAGTTCTCACTGCAACCTGGATCTCAGTTTAAAACTAATTAGTACAGTTTAACAGTTTGTTCAGTTAGTTATGGATTCCCACTGCCTCCTCTCCCCAGTCCTTTATCTCCAGTAGCAGCAACCTGCAAAATTCCACGTCTTCACAAATACTCACTCCTAAAGGCCATGACACTTTCTCCAGCAGGTAAAGACATTCGCCATCAGATGTGTAAACCCTTAACGCCCACCGGAGCATTAATATTGAGGGCATTTTTAAAGTACTAGAATGCTGTCTGCCCTAATTTCTTTTGAATGACGAAATTCCTATTGGCTTTAGTTACAATTGTCTTCTTGAATATTGCAATACCTT